TTCAGAGCCCCAAGCACACGTACACCCTCGACCCTGCACTTAAACCCCAAACCTGAAACCTGACCGTTGAAGACACGACGAACCGCTTAGATCCCAAGTTCTGAAGCCCGGAACGCGGAAAACCCCAACGCGCAACCCGAAGCCCTAAACCCTAGAGCTCCAAACCCTAAACCCTAAACGCAAAAACCCAAACCCTCAACTCTAAATCCATAAACGTCAAAACCCGTCGGTCGGTTGTAAGGCTTCCCACTCCCAAACTTGGCACCTTGTAGTAGTAGAGGCAGATGCCCACCGCCACCGTGGTGAAGGCAACTTAGAGACAGAAGGCTTCCTAGGGATTAGGGATTAGGGATTAGGGATTAGGGTTTAGGGTTTAGGGTTTTAGGGTTGGGGTTAGGGTCCGCCGACCCTGGGGGGGGTAGGGGCAAGGGGGGTAGGGGGGGGTTGTAGGGGAAGGGGGAGAGTGGTAAGGGTTCTACAATGCTCTTACGCAACCCTAAAGCTATCCTTCGCAATGCCCCTAAAACTCTAATACCCCAAACCCTAAATGCCCCAAATGCCCTACATTCCCTCAACACCCGCCACCCGAGCCTCAGAAAGAAATGATCATGAGATCCTCTACTACTCCCAAAATCAAGCGAAAAACGCCCTATTTGGGCCTGAGTTTGGGCGACGCCAAACCCTAAACCCCAAGCCCTAAACCCCAAACCCTAAACCCCAAACCCCAAACCCCAAACCCCAAACCCCAAACCCCAAACCCCAAACGGCAAGGGTGGCGTGGTGGAGGGTCCCGGAATTTGAGCCCCTAAACCCTAAACCCTAAACCCTAAACCCTAAACCCTAAACCCTAAGCCCCACACGCGCTCGCAAGACGCCGTCGCGCAGCTCCGAGAGGTGATCCTGCGTGGGCTTAGATGCTTTAGGGTTTTTATGGGTTTTGGAGTTTAGGGTTTGGGGTTTGGGGTTTAGGGTTTAGGGTTTAGGGTTTAGGGTTTAGGGTGTAGGGTTTAGGGTTTATTTAGGGTTTAGGTTTGGGGTTTGGGGTTTGGGGTTTGGGGTTTGGGGTTTGGGTTTTGGGGTTTGGGGTTTAGGGTTTGGAGTTTGGGGTTTGGGGTTTAGGGTTTAGGGCTTTAGGGTTTGGGGTTTAGGGTTTAGGGTTTAGGGCTTCGATGGTTGAGGGTCTATGGTAGTGCGTTAACGGTTTAGGCCCATGATTTGTGAGCTCATAAATGCTTATAGGGTAAGCAGGGCTTGTAGAGTTCATAGGGTTTCTAAGATTTATAGGGTTGAGGAGGCGAGAACGGAGGTAGAACTTGAACAACATGCCCTGACACGCACAGCGTCGTCTTGAGGAGTCGATGGATGGGCTACCGTAAACCTCTACACTCTAAACCCAAAAACCCTAAGCCCCAAAAGCTAATCACTCCCACACCATGAGGCGCCCCACAGAAACCATCTGTAATAACAACTGAACATTTTGGGGCGGAGAGTGGGAAAAAAAACGATTGCAGAACACGGGTTTGGGTTTAGGAGGGTTTCTTAAACCTTGGGTCTTCCTTCCTTGGACTCCCTATAGGCACTTCTCCTATGGCAGCACAAGTTGGATCCTAAGGTTCGGTGTTCAGGGCGTTTATGGCAACCCCATGACCCTAAATCATCAATGAACCCCGAAACCCTAAACCCCTACACCCCTAAGACCCTACACCCCTACACCCTACATCCCTGAACCCCTAAACCCCTAAACCCCACAACCCCTAAAACTCCAACCTAAAACCCTAACACCTAACCCTAAACAAACCCTGAAGGCCGCGAGCTGGGTGCCGTCAAGGGCTTCGTGCTCCGGTCTTTTCGAGCGCCCGCGCCATCACTCATTGGCCTCGGCGGGTCTTGGGAAGTTGATAGGGGGGCCTTGCCGGGCTTGCAGGTTTCTGTCGGTTTAGGGTTTTAGGGTAGGAGGGTTGAGGGTTTTGGTAGAGCTATTATTGATTCGGGGCTTGGCGTTGTGTGGCGCTTAACTGGGTCGGCGCATACGGACTGCATTTTCACGCTGCAAAGGCACCGGAGTCCGACCGAACGTCTGACTTGACCACCTTTCGGCACGAGACTTCGAGAACCTGATACGAAAGCGCGCATGAACAGCCGGAAGAGCCCTTTGATGTGGTGATGTTGGCGATGCATCAGCAAGGTCTCTGCACTCCCAGTGCAAGTCAGTGGGTCTTTCTTTCCGTCGCAGAGTCAAGGAATAGCATATCCAGCCCTCCCAAAGCACTTTGCACTGTGCACAATCGAGGCAGCACATGACAAGATCAACTTTGAAACTCGACCCACCTTGCTTTGTTGGGATTCGTGTTGGCATGATGCATGATCTGAAACACATTCAAGTTGTATGTCCTCCTCCATGGCAGTCCCTCTTGCTGTGCATACTCGCGCATTGCCTTCGAAACGGTCTTTGGGTCGTTTGCTTCTGCGGACAGGAAGCCAAGTCGTTGGAGGAGCTGGCGCACTTCAAGGTCTTGAGCTGGCACCTGCCACTGGCCATTCGTGAAGTGGGATAAAAGCGCAGCCCTTAGCTTCTCATCAACGTCCGCCAGCTTGTCCATTGGCACAGGTAACATCTCAAGCTTGCGAAGCATGTGCTTGTTCGCCGGTCTGTTGACAAAAGCCAGCATGGCCTCTGTCACGTCCGAGTTGAAGTTGCTATCCAAATAGCCAAGCTTCCCGAGCGCTTGCACGGTGAGCTTTTCCGAATCACGGAGCATTAAAGGTCCACCCCCACGAAGAATTGCCCACGCACGCATGCAGCTGTGATTGCGGCGGGCCTTCTTTTTCGAGCCCGACTGCGAAGTTCTTGGAACCAAAAAAGCTAAATCAAAATTGTACTTCTTGAACTGAGAGAAGCACCTGGACGTGGCAATAACCTCAGATACATCTTTCAGACCACAGCTCTGCGGGAAAACTGTAAGATCTCAAGGAATTTTCGAACCAGAATTTCGCAGCGGATTGGATGAAGTATCCGCTGTCTTGGCGGTAATCCAAATCAGACATGAACTGCATAAATGCTTCGGCCCTCCGCTCGGCGACATCCTCTGGTGCGCCAGGAACCTCCAGGTGCGTCTCCCTGACGCTTCCACTGCCATCAGCATGCAAAATTGCTTGCACGCCGATAAAACCTTCATGCTCCTTTGGCAATACAGCTACGCTCACACCAATGTCCTCGTACCTGGAAAGAACCGTCCGTCTGTGGGTCTCAGCAAGGACAATGGCTTGCCTTCCGTGCGCCAGTGTGCTTTGCATGATGTCCATGTAGCCGGTATCCCCAGTTAGTAGCGCGATGCAATCCACTTCTGTGGCAGCCCACAAGTCCTGAACAGCCAAAGTAATTGCCTCGTCAACTTCTTCTCCTGACAGACGTCCTGTTTGTTGCTTGTCAACAGGCTGGTAGCCAATCCCTGATTCCCGCATGAACTCCAGCCACTTCTTGTTCTGCTGCCGTCCTTCCGGTGCAAAGATGGTTGTGTTCACCACATGGCCAGAGTCTTCCAACAATCTGATGGCGACCCGTGTAGCTTGAATGCTGAACGTGTCAGCATCAACAAGCAATTCGGTTTGTTGCCCGGCCGGTCGGGAGCCTCTGTGAGTCCGACGCCGTCTTCGACGGTCAAGGGGTGCCTTGCACGTGTCGCAACCATACCTAGTCCTCACTCTGTGGGGAGTCTTCATTTGGCTCTTAAGGACAAATGGGGATGCCAACAAAACTGGAATCTTACTCTCCATTTGGGGTTTTGACAATTTTTGACAATTTCCCATGGCACCTTATTGTCTTCCTACGACACGCACATGCTTGCTGGCCCCCACCTGGCACGCCGGCAGCGCCCGCATCAGGATGTAGCAAGCTGCTGGGATAAAAACCGCACTTCGTCTGGGGTCATTGAAGACCCGATCTGGGAGACAGCAGCATGCCCTTACTGGGTGGACAGGCACGCATTGAGGCATTGGGCCTTGCTGTGCCCGCTGCATGGCGGCACTGAAGCTGTTCATGTCTCAAGCTACTATTTGCCTAAGAACCCCCAACAGATACAAATGCTCTACCTTATACGGGCAATATAGGGATGATTATTCGTCAGTTTGTTGGGGTTCTCAAGCAAATAGTAGCAAGGGCGGCTACAGGCAGCTCACTTGAAACAAAACCTGTGACATACATTCGGGTCTACGGCTTGTGCTAGCATAGGTTGCAACATTGTAACCGCAGATCCGATGAGGACAGGCATCCGTTTTCCGCCGACGAACCCAGGAGGCATGAGCTGCCCGCATAGCAAAGGGGCAGACTCGCCGCCATCCCTATGCGGGTAGTTCCATGGTCCCTTACTATGGACCCTTAAACGGGACCCCTTACATACCCCATACAAAATAAGGCATGCTTCAAAACCCTTTGAAGGAGGAGGTAACGGGGGATATTCAGGGCCCCTATAACTACCCTTTTCCTGCCTCATGCTATTGACCTACCAGGTCACCATGGGCTTGTGTTATGCGCCTTGGCAACCATGAAGGCGGGACCATCGTGACACGGAAATTGCGCTAATCTCGGGCAGTATAGAACCATAAACTTGCAACCCTAAACCCTGAACCGTTACCCTTCTGTAGCAAGTTTACGAAGTAGGGGACCCCCCAGCATAGATCCAATCAGTAGGATGCCCTTGGAAAAAGGCCCAATAAGGTATCCCTAATTTTTGAAACCCCCATATTGGGGATGCAGGTTTTCCTGGTGGGAATCAGGGCAGGTTAAGGGGATGATAGTGGCTGTTCTTGCAGTGAACCGTCTGATTAGACCCTACACAACAGCCCCTACAAAATTGAAATCCACCCTGAGCCTCCTCCAACCCTAAACCCTATAAACCCTAAACCCTAAACCCTACAAACCTACACCGAGCCCCCGCAACCTCCTCCCACGCCCTGAACCTCCACCCGCGCCTCTACGCCTTCCGCTTCTTCGGCGACGCTGCCGGGCGCTTCATTTTGGCCTGCGGGGTTCAGGGTTTAGGGTTTAGGGTTTAGGGCTTGGGGTTTAGGGTTTAGGGCTTAGGGCTTGGGGTTTAGGGTTTAGGGTTTAGGGCTTAGGGCTTAGGGCTTAGGGTTTAGCACTCTGGATCTCGAGCTTCTGGCACACGTAGAAACTGCATGATGACCTTGAGCCTTTTGGGGTAGGGTTTAGGGTTTAGGGTGTAGGGTTTAGGGTGAGGGTGTAGGGTGTAGGGTTTAGGGCTTATGATTGTTTACTGTTTAGGGCCCTACCAACCCTTACATATGTATGACACTCACATACATACCTGGTATAGAACAGGAAATTTATAGGGGAGAGAGGTGCCTTGTACACAACGCCTGGAGTTGCCTAAGACCTTACTGAGCTAAACCCTAACCCTAAACCCTATACCCTATACCCTAAACCCTAAACCCTAAACCCTAAACCAGTTAAGTTGGAGAATCTGTATAAACCCTGAGGGTGGACCGGTATGCGCCTTCGCCTGCAACGAGCGTAGCTGCTCCCGCGGCATGGCGTAGGCGCCGGAGCCTACTTCCGGCTGGTGGTTTGGTTTAGGGTTTAGGGTTTAGGGTTTAGGGTTTAGGGTTTAGGGTTTAGGGTTTAGGGCTTAGGGCTTAGGGCTTAGGGCTTAGGGCTTAGGGCTTAGGGCTTGGGGCTTAGGGTTTAGGGTTTAGGGTTTAGGGTTTAGGGTTTAGGGTTTAGGGTTTAGGGTTTAGGGTTTAGGCTTTAGGCTTTAGGGTTTAGGCTTTAGGCTTTAGGGTTTAGGCTTTAGGGTTTAGGGTTTAGGGTTTAGGGTTTAGGGTTTAGGGTTTAGGGCGGTTAGGGTGTAGGGTTTGGGGTTTAGGGTTTAGGGTTGAAGGTTGAGGGTTGCGGGTTGAGGGTCGAGGGTCGAGGGTTGAGGGTTGAGGGTTCCTAGTAGGGAACGAGGAACTTAGGGCCCTATGTACTCCCTTGAAGGGTATATATCGGGCCCCTCATCTCCTAATTACTGAGAATTCGGGGGACTTTGAATAGGTCAGGTCCCTCCTTCTTTGGCCGGGTTCAGGCTTCGACTTTTGTTAAATTCAGGCTTAGCGATTTCGGGTTATATAGGGTTTTGGTCTATTATCCAAGTTCTTGGGTCGTGTTTATGCCGGGTGCGCTCCTTCAGAAGTTAAGAAACTCCACGGAACAAGTTCTTTCGCAACTCTCGCCCAGCAAAAAGATCTCATCTCCAGTGCAATGTCATTTCAAGGGTTCAAGAGGTTTAGAGAACCCTAAACCCTAAACCCTAAACCCTAAACCCTAAACCCTAAACCCTAAACCCTAAATTTGGGGGTCGAGGGGATCTGAAGGCGCAGAAGGAAGGCATGCCAAGAAACAAGCTGTGGTCAGATGAACCACAGAAAACAAGAACCCAAGCCCTAAAACAACCCAAGAACCTTGAACCCTAAACCCTAAGCCCTAAACCCTAAACCCTAAACCCCTAAACCCTAAACCCTAAACCCTAAACCCTAAACCCCTAAACCCCTAAACCCCTAGACCCCTAAACCCCTAGACTACTAAACCCCTAAACCACTAAGCAGCCCTACGAAAGGAGCCTTTGAGGATGGCTTTGCTCCGCTCGCGGAGATCCTGCCCAGGAGCCCCTTCAGGAACATGGGTTCTTAGGGTGTAGGGTGTAGGGTTTAGGGTTTAGGGTTTAGGGTTTAGGGTTTAGGGTTTAGGGTTTAGGGTTTAGGGTTTAGGGTTTAGGGTTTAGAGGGTGTCGTGAGGACTTACTAGGGGCGGTTTAAGGCTTCTGAGAGCTTCTAAGGCCTTTTCGGGGGGGTCTTGGGGGCTTTTCAGGATTTTCAGGGCTCTTGGGGGCTTAGGGCTTGCTAAGGGCTTTTAGGGCTTTTTGCGGGCTTCTTCTTCTTCGGGCTTTCGCTTTTGGGGGTTTGTAGGTTTGTGAGGGTTTATAGGGTACAGGGCCCAGGTCTGGCGTTTTGGGCCTCAGGGTGGCTTCAGGCGCAATCACCTCTTCAGGTTTCAGAGCGATTTACCGCCTCTTTGGGTGATTGAAAAACCTTTTTGAAATGCTTGAAGACCTCAACCCTAAAGGCCGAAACCCCTAAACACCTCAACAACAAGACTAAACCACCCAGCGAACCTTGAAAATCCTAAATCTCTTCAACCCTACCACTCTAAAAGCAGCCTCCGAAATCTGAGCCAAAACAAGGCCTTGAAGGGCCTGAAAGGCCTCAGCCCCCCCCCCCCCCTTCGCACACCCCAACCAAAAAAAACAAGCTTCAACAAACTCCTAACTTCCGGAACACAAGGCCCAAAAGCCCTCCGCCCCCTCCCCCTCCCCAGACCAGAAAGAAAAAAACAAAAGCTGAAAAGACAAAAGATACAGGAACAAACTTGGGATTTTCCTCCTTAAACTAACGGTCCTTAATCGGGATTAGAGTGCCTCCTATTATAATCCGTTTAGGGGCTGCTAGTACAAGGGGGAACATCCCAAGAACAAGCCTGCAAAACGCCCTAGCCCTAAACCCTAAACCCTAAACCCTCAACCCTAAACCCTCAACCCTAAACCCCTAAACCCCTAAACCCTAAACCCTAAACCCTAAACCCTTCAAAAGGCCCTCAAACAAAGCCAACTCCGGCCCAGTGCCTCGGCTGTGAGCTCGTAGCCCCAGTGGAGCAGGGACTGGCGCACGGCCGGCGCCACCTGCGACCCAAAACCCTAAACCCTAAACCCTAGACCCTAGACCCTGAACCCTGAACCCTGAACCCTGAACCCTGAACCCTGAACCCTGAAACCTGAACCCTGAACCCTGAACCCTGAACCCTGAACCCTGAACCCTGAACCCTGAACCCAACCCTAAACCCTAAACCCTACGTAAACCTGGGGTTGTTTAGGGGCGGGGCTTGCCTCATCTATATAGGGTGTCAGGGCTTCATGACTTTGGGGCTTCTTGATTTAGCCTTTACACCCCCTTAAAGCCCCCAAACCCATTCGAAAGACAATGCTCCAAAGAACGTGCAGGGACTCGACCCCCCAAAAACCCGAAGCAAATTTTATCAAATCCCAAACCCTAAACCCTGAACCCTAAACCCCAAACCCTACACCCCAAACCCTATACCCCAAACCCCAAACCCTAAACCCTAAAACCGCACGCAGTCAAGGTCCCGCCCCACCTTTGGATCATTGTATGGCTTGCCAGCTTTCAAGCCTCCGGAGATTCGGGGTTTAGGGTTTAGGGGTTAGGGTTGAGCACTGAGGGTCTAATGTTGCACTGGCTTTAGTTTATCCAGGGTCGACAATCACAAGTTTCGAAAGTTTATTCTGCGAACTGAGTTTGCTGGGGTAACTGGCGATTATCAAATATGTTTTTTCCGGACGTCTGTTTCTTTTAAAGGGTTTGTGTTTAGGGTTAAAGGCTTGCGCGAGAAGGCTTGAGGCCCTGCGCGCCTTGGGCTCCAGGAATTTTACAGAGCCAGAGCCCGGAGAATCCAGAAAGCTAAGCCCAGCCAGTTCCATGTAAAGCCTTATGGAAATTCATCATGAAACGAGGCCCCAAACAAAGTTTGTGATAGGTGGTCCACAGGCCAGCCCGACGCATTTTCGTAAATTTGTTGCGCCACCCGCAATAATACACATTTTCGTCTTCCGGGTGATTGTTGTTTTTTAAGGTTAGTGTTTAGGGTTAAGGGCTTAACTACGCAGTAAGGCTTGAGGCCCTGAGGGCCTTGGGCCCCAGGAATCTTAACGGCTGGAAGGTCCTAAAGGCTTGAGGCCCAGAGGGCGGTTACCCCCCCCACCCCCCCCCCCCCCCAAATTTGTTTGCGTTTATAATGGGCCCAAATTTGTTGGGGGGGAGGGGGGGGGGGAGGGGGGCTACCTATTAAAAGCAGTGCAACCTTGGGGTTTAAGTGAGGGCATACCCTACGAGCCCAAAGAACACCCAAGAAAGCCCTGAGTTCCCAAACCCTAAACCCTAAACCCTAAACCCTAAACCCTAAACCCTGCCAA